ATTAGACCTACTATACGCGTTCCGGATAGTACTTACTCTACGCGTTTCGGATAAGACTTAGTATAGGCGTTTCGGATTAGAATTGCTATATAGCGCGTTCTAAATAGAACTTAGTATAAGCGTTATAGATAGTAGTACTAACTATTAGCGCTCCGGATTAGACTTGCTATACGCGTTCCGAATAGTACTTACTAAGTTACTATTATAAACGTTCTAAATCAGACTTTCTATAGGCGTTATAGATAGTAGTTAGCTTGTCCTACGCGTTCCGGATAGTACTACTCGCTATAGGTATTCTATAGAGTACTCGCTATAGGCGTTTTATAGGGTACTTACGGCCCCTTTAGGCTTACTACGGCTTAAAATAAGCTAAAAGCCGACTCTACTTAGCTATAGCCGAGGAACTTTAAAATTTCTTAGTTTACGAGCGGTTCGGAGATTATAGGAGTCGTAGTATATAGTTCGTAAGCGGTTCGGAGATTGTAGGAGTCGTAGTATATATCGTAAGGCTACGATAGTATTATTTCCGATGCTATATCGGTCGTTTATACCTAATCCGGCGGTATTTGCTCGAGGCGGTATGCTCGAAAGGCTTAGCCTACGCGTTTCGGATAGTACTACTCGCTATAGATATTCTATAGAGTACTCGCTATAGGCGTTTTATAAGGTACTCGCAGTAGGCGTTATATAAGGTACTCGCTATAAGTAGTTCGAATACTATTTAGTAACTATAGGCGTTTTAGATAGTATCTACTATAAGCGTTCTAGAAAGTACTACTCGCTAAAGATATCTCGGATAATTATCGCTATAAGCGTTTCGAATATTACTACTCGCTATAAGCGTTTTTAGCAGTATTTGCTATAGGCGTTTCGGGCGTTTTAGATTAGACTTACTATAGGTATTCTAAATAGCACTTGCTATAGGTATTTTAGATAGTACTACTTGCTTTAAGCGTTCTTAGTAGTACTTACTATTACCGTTCCGAATTAGACTTGCTATATACGTTCCGGATAGTACTTACTCTACGCGTTCCGGATAAGACTTAGTATAAGCGTTTCGGATTAGAATTGCTATATAGCGCGTTCTAAATAGAACTTAGTATAGGCGTTTTAGATAGTAGTGCTAACTGTTAGCGCTCTAGATTAGACTTACTATACGCGTTCCGAATAGTACTTACTATTATAAGTGCTCTAAGTTAGCCTTACTATAGGCGTTGTTAGTAACAGTTAGCTTATTCTACGCGTTCCGGATAGTACTGCTCGCTATAGATATTCTATAGAGTACTCGCTATAGGCGTTCTATAGGGTACTTAGAGTAGGCGTTATATAGGGTACTCGCTATAGATAGTTCGAATGCTGTTTAACTATAGGCGTTTTAGATAGTACTTACTATAAGCGTTCCGGATAGTGCTACTCGCTATAGTCTTAGCCTATAGGCCTTCCGGATAGTGCTTAATATAAGTATTTAGTTTCGGATTAGACTTAGACTTAATTTATACATTCCGGATAAGACTTTCTATAAGCGTTTTAGATTAGACTTAGTATACGCGTTCCGGTTTATATAGGACTAACTATACTAAGCGTTTAAAATAAGGCTTGTCCTACCGACTCCTACGCGTTCCGTATAGTACTACTCGCTATAGGTGTTCTATAGAGTGCTCGCTATAGGCGTTTTATAAGGTACTCGTAGTAGGCGTTATATAGGGTGTCCGCTAAAAGTAGTTCTAATGCTATTTACTATAGCCTATAGGCGTTTTAGATAGTATTTGCTATAGGCGTTCCGGATAGTGCTACTCGCTATAGATATCTCGGATAGTTACCGCTATAAGCGTTTCGAATAATACTACTCGCTATAAGCGTTTTTAGTAGCATTTACTATAGGCGTTTTAGATATAACTTGCTATAAGTATTCTAAATAGTACTTACTATAGGTATTTTAGAAAGTACTACTTGCTATAGGCGTTCTTAGTAGTACTTACTATTAGCGTTCTATATTAGACTTACTATACGCGTTTCGGATAGTACTTACTATACGCGTTTCGGATAAGACTTAGTATAGGCGATCCGTATTAGAGTTACTATATAGCGCGTTCTAAATAAAACTTAGTATAGGCGTTATAGATAGTAGTACTAACTGTTAGCGCTCCGGATTAGACTTACTATACGCGTTCCGAATAGTACTTAGTATTATAAGCGTTCCAAATTAGAATTCCTATAGTTGTTTTCGATTAAAGTTGCTATAAGCGTTTTAAATTAGACTTACTATACGCCTTGTAGGCAGTACTTGCTATAAGTGTTCCGACTCGGAAAGAACTACTTACTATAGATATTTCGAATAGTACTCGCTATAGGTATTTCGGATAGCAATTACTATTAGCGCATTCCGGCTCGCTATAGGCGTTTTTTAGGGCACTCGTAGTAGGCGTTATATAGGGTACTTGCTATAAATAGTTCGAATACTATTTAGCTATAGGCGTTTTAGATAGTATTTGCTATAAGCGTTCCGGATAGTACTACTCGCTTTAGGCCTTCCGGGTAGTACCTAATATAAGTATTTAGTTTCGGATTACACTTAGACTTATTATATATATTCCGGATAAGACTTTCTATAAGCGTTTTAAATTAGACTTGCTATACGCGTTCCGGCCTATATAGGACTAACTATACTAAGCGTTTAAAATAAGGCTTATCCTACGCGTTCCGGATAGTACTACTCGCTATAGGTATTCTATAGAGTACTCGCTATAGGCGTTTTATAAGGTACTCGTAGTAGGCGTTATATAGGGTACTTAGCGCTCGCTATAAGCAGTTCGAATACCTATAAGCGTTTCGGATTAGACTTGCTATACGCGTCCCGGTTTATATAGAACTAACTATACTAAGCGTTTAAAATAAGGCTTGTCCTACGCGTTCCGGATAGTACTACTCGCTATAGATATCTTAGATAGTTACCGCTACAGGCGTTTCGAATATTACTACTCGCTATAGGCGTTTTTAGTAGTATTTACTATAAGCGTTTCGGATATAACTTGCTATAAGTATTCTAAATAGTACTTACTATAGGTATTTTAGAAAGTACTACTTACTATAAGCGTTCGTAATAGTACTTACTATTACCGTTCCGAATTAGACCTACTATACGCGTTCCGGATAGTACTTACTATACGCGTTCCGGATAAGACTTAGTATAAGCGTTTCGGATTAGAATTACTATATAGCGCGTTCTAAATAAAACTTAGTATAGGCGTTATAGATAGTAGTACTAACTATTAGCGCTCCGGATTAGACTTACTATACGCGTTCCGAATAGTACTTAGTATTATAAGCGTTCTAAATAAGAATCCCTATAAGTGTTTTAGATTAAAATTACTATAGGCGTTTTAGATTAGACTTAGTATCCGCCTTATAGGTAGTACTTACTATACGCCTTATAGGTAGTACTTACTATAAGCGTTCTAACTCGGAAAGAACTACTTACTATAGATATTTCGAATAGTACTCGCTATAGGTATTCCGGATAGTAATTACTATAGGCATATTCCGGAAGTAGTTACTATAGATATTTAAGACTATCTTGCTATAAGCGTTCCTAATAGTGCTCGCTATAAGCGTTTCTAAATAGTGCTTTCTAATATCTATAACGCGTTCCGGATTAATATTACTTTTTAGTATTAGCGTTTTAGATATAATTTACTATATGCGTTTTAGATTAGGCCTACTATAGGCGTCTAGATAAGACTTTAGCTACTCGTCGCCTTAGGCTTCTCGTATAGCTCTTCGAGCTATATAAGCCCTAGTGCACTACTAACACTAGAGGTAGTACGTCGAGTACTACCTATCTCGCTAGGGGTAGGACTTCCTCTTCCGACTTGTAATAAGGCACTTATCCTAAGGGCGTTTAAAGTGTTACGGTTACTCGCGATAGATCGTTAGGTAACTTCTTATTACGTACAAGCCGAGGCTTCTTTAGAGAGGCTAATATAAGCGGGAGGCAGAGACAGAATAATTAGTACAAAGGTAATTCTAATTAGTAAGTAGGTAATATAAGTTAAACGCCTCGAGCTATAAGGGCATTCCGGCGTTCCTAAATACAAAGGAGATATCTTGTCTATAGTCGTAAGCGACGTAAGCGACGCTGTCGCTCTCGACCGCTCCTATCGCTCCTAGTAAGATAGAGCGACAGCTTAGCCTACTAGTCTTAGCGTCGCTCTAAGATTATATAAGGACTCTAACTAATTAGATCCGTAATAGGCTTCTCTACTTATTGTAATAGCCCCTTAAGATACCTCTATATTATCTATATAGTAGGCTCTTTTTATATTTTTACTTCGGTTATAGCTATTCGTACCTAGAGACTACCTTTAATATACCTATATCTATTAGATATAAAGAGATAGCTATATCTTCGGCTCTAATAAAGAACGAAAACTAATACTACTACTACTAGTAATAGTATAAGCCTCCGAAGGTAGTATAACCTATAGTAATATAGGTAGCTATACTTAGTAAAATAGGATATTAAACTTGTTATTTAGGCTATAGTAAGTATTAGTAACTAGAGCCCTATAATATAGGCTCGACTAAAGCATAACAGAAATAGTATACTATATAAGGTTAATAATCTATCTACTTTATAGAATAATGCCTCTTTTATAGGCTTAGTACCTAGCTACCTAGTAAGGGTATAGGGCCGGTTACTAGCTAATACTAGATATTCTAAGTTAATATATAGTTCCGTAAATACGCTAAACTACTAAGAAGGGATATAAACCTTTAGAAAACTCTATAGCGTAGATAGTATATTAGTTAAGATATAATAGATATAAGTATTTATACGCTACTTATTAGTATAAGGGTACTAATATTAAAGTCCGAGTCCTAAGCCCGATAGTAGAAAGGTACTACTTATTAAGGAACGCCGTACTAGACTCTCGGAGAGCAAGCCCGAGTATATAGGATATTTTCTTAAAATCTATATAAAGGTATATATACGTTTATCCTTAGCAACTGCTTTTATAACTCAATCCATTCCCAAACCGGAATACCGGGTTAGCAGTATCAAAGGGCACATCCTCCTTGCTATTAGCGACCGCCTGCGTGCTTCTAGGAAGGTCAAATGGCAGCTTTCCTAGAGGCTCAGCTCCATCGACTCCTAGCACCACGTCCAAGAATGCCTCAGGACTACTTCCGAAACTCGCCAGCAGCGCAACAGCAGATTCTGCAATCTCAGGAATAGCTGCTGGACGATCCAAATACATGTCCACGATGGTGGGGACAGCGTCGTAGATGGCCTGTTGACGAGCCTTCTCGGTGGCATTGTCCTCCAGTGAGCCGGCATGGTAGTTGGATTCAAACCCGCCAGGTCGTGGTTCGTATGGCGCTCTGAGTCGCAGCAGTGCAAGATCGGCTTCCTCTGGTGTCTCGACAACCTCCAAGCCACGGCCTTCAAAGTAGGTGGCGTTGATACCTTCGATGTACACCTTGGCGCCATCATGGTTTTGCAGAGGAAGTATGTTGTCCTGGTTCTTAAGCAGCGTGTAAGCGGAACGCTGCGCTTCTTCTCCCCATTTCACAAACGCTGCATTGCCAACGACTTTGACAGCTTCCTCGGGATCTACGAATGGGTTGTCGAAGAGACCAAGCATGAACTTTTCTTTCAGCAGACGCCGCACCGAAACATCAATCCTCCCTTCAGAGATCCTGCCTTCTTGCACAAGCTGTACGATGAGCTCTGGTCTAGTTTCGCCACCAAACTGATCGACACCTGCATCGAGGACCCTTGCGGCCCTTTCGAGCTCACTAAGGTACTCCACACCCCAAGCTCGTGCTGGCATGTCTTGTCCACGGATTGTAGTATCTGTGATAAGACCCCAATCCGAGCAGACAATGCCGTCGAATCCCAATTCTTCGCGAAGTAGATCGGTGATGATGCCTTTGTTGAAGCTGAACCCGACCTCTTCAATCTGGGTGCCATCATGAACAGCGCCAATCGGACGAGAGTAGTAAGGCATCATCTGCCTTGCACCCACGGCGATAGCAGCCTTGAACGGAATGAGATGGTAATCGAAATTGGCGCCGGGATACGTTCTACTCAATGTCAGCTTTACTAAATCAAGGGTGCTGAGTGTATCTCACTGATTCTTGCCATATGTGAAATGACTATCTTCTCCGTTCTCCATCGGACCGCCGCCTGGAAAGTGCTTCGTAATGGTGCTTACAGAGTGTGAACCAAAGTGCTCGCCCTGAAAGCCTTTGATGTATGCGACAACCAGACTGGACGTGAGCTCGGCGTCTTCTCCCATGGTACCGGCAATTCTCGCCCATCTATACTCAGTAGACAGATCAATCTGAGGATGCAAAGCTGTGCGAATGCCAATTGCCAGGTATTCTTGCCTTGCTACCTCTGCGAACTTGTAGACGAGGTCCGGATCTCCAATGGCTGCAAGACCCAGTGACTCTGGCCATTGTGAAAAGGAATTTGCGGATATGCTGCTGCCGATCGCCTCAGTGAAAGCGTGACGAGGATCAGTAGAGAGAGTCACAGGAATGCCGAGCCGAGTGTTCAGAGCTGTCTCCTGAACCAGGTTGTACCACTCTGCAGTCTCCTTGACATCTGTGACCGTGCCACCGAGATTGAAATGTGTCAGATGCCACTCGCTAATGACCTTTTCTGTTCCGTTTCGCGTCTCCGTCTCTGCAGCCAAGGTGCCATTTTCGCCCTGGGATATCTGAGTATGGAAGAGCTGGCCTGCCTTCTCCTCAATTGTCATGCGCGAAAGGAGATCGTCAACTCGAGCGTCGATACATAGCGAAGCATTCTGGTATGGAAAGGTAGCGCTGTTATGGCGCCGGACGATGTTGCTGCGTATCGTTTGAGGGTGGCACGATGCCAAGGTTACAAGAAGCAAAGGAAAAGCACGAGGCCCACCGCAAATGCTGCTGAACCTCATGGCTGAATCTGAAGTCTCGTGGACTATTCTAGCTCAATGGCGGCCGCATTATATACCATACTGCCCACCGGTAGCAAGACCGCGCTTCTGTACTGTTTGCCATACCGTCACACTGTCCTCATGCGCTACTGCAGCGCGAATTGTCTCCCACTGGTCTACTCTTGCCATTTTCCCTGATTGTCATCAAACAAGACGCCGTAAAGGTCCGCAATATACAGTCGGCTATGACTCTTTGCAGTCATTGTGCCGCATCGCCCGCTGGAATGCTTCTTCTGGAGGAAATCTTGCCCGAGAACATGGCCTAACAGAAGTGCCGTATTGCGGCCGTTCAGCTTGGCAGTCTTGGCTGCTGGTCATGAGTACGATCGCTTCGCGTGGTAGCATCGTGACGGTGGGTATGTAGTGCATACAGTGGCTTCGATGATCAAGCGGAGGTCGGTGGCGATTGAAGGTGTTTGCAAGGGGAGAGAGAACTTTCGGGTTCATTCACTCCGAGAGCCGGTGTTGAGCCGGCCTGGGGATCTGGAGAACTTGATGCGGAGTGCATGTCAGTCAACACCCAGCAGACGAGACAACCGACTCAGAGGGCGACTTCACCGTCCTGGGAACATGCATATACCATTCTCCGTGCTCCAAAGTGAAACTACCGTCATCGTCTTCATGGATCCCATACGCATCATACACCTACCTGCCACGTTCCGATTGGGAAAGAATGAAAGCGCAAGTGCAGTTCGCGCGAGCCAGAGATGGGATCATATCTGCGAGAAGAGGTGTCGGAGAATACGTAGAGGCTGTCATCGTCAAACATGGACTCATTCGTGCTACTCGCGCATACCGTTGCATACAACGCGTATGCTTGGTCAGTATGGCGCTGCATGATTTCTTATAATGTCAGTGACCGGTCCTCCAGTACGCTCGACGGGAGGATGGCCGAGCTTAGATATGGCGCGTATTGCACAGCCTGAGCAGCCGGATATGAGAAGCACGTTAACGTTTCCTGTACCTTAACTCTGGCTGAAGGATGGAATCCAAGGAAAGGCGCGCACGTCGATAAGGATTTGATTTGCGAGCGAGATGACGAACAGAATTCACCAATCTCGAGCGAACTGAGCAACCTTCGATGCCTCGCGACATGCCCTCATGACTTTGGAGGTCGAACTTTTCATTCTCCCTGCCGAGGATTCCTTTGGGATGAGGGCGACCACACGCGCCACGACACGATCACCTGGTCCCAAACGGCGCGCCTCAATATTGATACAAATTCCTCTGAGAAAAGGGCTGCAGCATCTCTGGCGGTGTTAGAAGGAATCACGCACGACTGAGACGAGAAATGCGTCGCATGGCCGCTTGATGAGCAAGTGGCTTTGATCCAGCGACATCGGGTCCGCTGGACTGAAATTCGCATGCCGAGCTGCGCACTCTGCAATCCTGCACTGGAGGCTGGCTCGTAAAGAGTGATGCTCGCGCCATGTGAAAGTGTTCGTCCGGATTGTTGTGGTTCAGTCAGGTGATATGCTGGTTAGCTGATACTATTAGCTGACCTGTGCTAAGAGGAAGGACATACAATGGCTATATTAACTGCAGTTTCTGTAGCAGGCTCCTGATCCTTCTTTGTACAGTTATATAGTTGTTAATCCGATAATTAGTTGCATCTCTAGCACGATTTATAACAGGTTATAAGCCCGGCGCATACGCTTACCTGTCTAGTTCAACTATAAAAGAACTGTTTCTAGAGTCTACTAAATAGAGCTAGCTATCTAGACCTATTAGGTACCTAGTTAAGAGCTCTAGTTCGGACTAAAACCTAGTAAGTGTCCCTTATAAGCCCTGCCTAGCACTATACTAAAAGGCAGCTAGGAACGATAGACACTAATTAGACAAAGACAGTAAAGGAGAATTAGGTTCTTAGGAAGGGGATCAACTTTTAAGACTAGAAGCTTATATTCTAGGCGGCCCTTCTAGAAAAGGACCTAGTTAGTATAGTATTCTATAGACTTAACTAGGCTAATAAAATAAAACTACCTCTAAAAAGCATATTTATAGGGGACTTAGCCGATTAGTAGTATAGAGATATATTTAGGGACTAGAAAAAGAAAGATATCTAAGCCCTAGGTATACTTATTACTAGACTCGACCCTACTCTTAGACTAGACTTCGGTAATATACCTAAGTTAGCTAAGGACATATACGACTATATTAAGGCTCTATATAAGCCTATTGTAACCGTAGATATATTTAATACTATCAAACTTATTAGGCATATTAGGATGCCCCTTACTAATCCGAACACCTAGTAGTACTACGAATCTTTTTAGTAGTAGTTTAATAGATTCTAAACATCGATAGAACAATTTGCTAGCTTAGTTATAATAACAGAAGCGCCTGTAAAGTTATTAGACATTAAGATGCCTAATATGCTTGTTAGGATGCTGTTCATTTAGGGCCTTTCTAGTTACGAATAGCTTAGATCCTAGAAGTATAACAATAAGCCTAAAGCTAAGGACTTCTCCCTTAAAGCAATAATAACGTCCCTAAGGAGAGAAAAGCCTCCTAAACAGTTATCTAGCAGCTTAAAGCTTGTTAGAGGGGCTATTAGCAATAATAACGACTAGTGCACTTAGTGCAAGTATAAACATACTAACGCTAAGTGCTACAAGCAACACCCTAATATAGTACTACCTAGTTAGGGAAAGAAAGACAAGAGCAAAGACAAAGACAAAGATAAAGGCAAGAAGGGTAAAGGTAAGGGAAAGGGCAAATCTAGTAGTGCTATTAACAATAATAAAGATGAATCTAACTCCTCCTCTAACTCGGAAGATAAGGGAGACTATTAGCTAGACGGCCTTAGTAGGGGCCTAATTAGGGGAGCTATTGCAAAGCCGGGACTAGCTATAGCAAGCTCTAAGAACCTAATAGCTAACACAAAAGTTTAGGATACAGGTACATTACTACACATTATAGGGAACAAGAGCTAGTTCAGCGATCTTAAGCACCTAACTAAGCCTATTTAGTTCTCCTAAGTAGTAGGAAAATCAAGTATATTACGATTAGGAACTGTTAATATCTTCCTAACCTATAAAGGAAAGAAAACCCCAATTACTCTAATAGACGTCCTCTACTCCCCGAACTTAGATTGCAACCTAATCTTAGTAGAGCGTCTTTAGAAGAAATGTAGCATTTACTTAGATAGACCTTTAGGCACTTTAATACTTAAAGGCAAGCTAATTAGAAAGGTTAAGGAAGTATAAGGAGTACTTACCCTTAAAGATGCTAGAGTCAAAATGCTAGGCTTAGCTTTAAAACCAAACTTAGAATCGAGTTAGAAAGGGCAGCTATTAGCCCTAGCTATCGCTAGACTACGAGCGGACACATTAAGATAGCATTAGAGACTTAGCTACGTCGGCAACAAGATCCTAACAGCTACTAAGGAAGCTATTCTAGGCCTAGAAGAAGTTGATATATCTAAACTCGAGCACTATAAGACCTGCAAGCTCTCGAGAGCTTAAAGAGTTATATTAAGAGAATACAGAACTAGACTAGAAAAAGCCCTTAACGAAGTCTATATTAACCTTATTAGCGTACAACTATTTAATCTGTTTAGAAACAGGTACATTATAATCCTAACTAATGCTAAAACTAGGCTTAGGTAGGGTCTATTACTTCGAAACAAAGACAAGGTAACAAGTAGTAACAAGCTAACTAACTAGATAACTAGAATTAAGAGGCAATATAACAAAATCCCTAAGATTATCTTTAGTAATAGCGGGGGAGAGTTTACTAACAACGATCTAGTACATTTTGTAGAGGAAGTTAGTATTAGATAGGATATATCTACACTATATACACCGGAGCAGAATAGCATTATAGAGTCGTTAAACAAGACGATTCTGCTTAAAGCAAGAGCAATAATAATTAACTCTAGCCTACTAATATACTGCTAGTACTTTGCAGTAATGCATTCGATTTACCTAACTAATAGACTAGTAAACTTAAGAACTAAGGAAGTTCTACTTAAGGCTTTCGAATTAGACTTGAATATCGGCAGTACAGACATTAACCTGTCTAAGACGAGACGATTTGGCTATAAGGCATTCAAATACCTCGAATCCGGAGTTGAACGACTTAACTCCTAGAAATTTGCACTAAGAGCTTTCGTTTACTAGTTTATTAGATTCTAAGAAAATTCGTTAACAAACTATCTGCTTTAGAACCCGCACTAGAAGGATAGCGTATAGCAGCATAACATTAGATTCTCTCTATACGTTACCTTTAACGAGGACTTTGTCTATAAAGACAATTTTACTAAGCTTCTAAGTACCCTTTAAGCTTAGGGGGAGTATTTGAGACTAGCTGTCCCTTAGGAGACTATTTAGGTACTTAAAACCTAGTCTAACCTTTTATTTAAGTTAGGAATCCTAGCACCATTCCCTAGTAATAACCAAACACCTTAGCACTCTTTAGAACCTTAGGGGGAGCTATTTAGAGGTAGCATCCCTTAGCCTTAGTAGGCTTATAATTAGGAAGATTAGGAAGACTCCCTTATAGCTTAGGGGGAGCAAGGTACACTTAAGCAAGGAACACTACCTTAGCTAATACCTACAGCTAATAAGCTAATACTCTAAAATCACTAACTAGAACTACTAGCTGCCTAGCAGGAAGCTGCTCCTAAGAAAAATTAGTACACTTAAGAAACAGATACTGCTAAACTAGAAGACACCCTAATCACTCCCTTCTAAGTCCCTAAGACTACTAGCAAGAGAAAGAGGGCTCCTAACCTACCTTAGCTAAACCCTCCTTAAGCCGAAGTACGACTTAGGTCTAGCAGAGCCGTAGCTAAGTATAACTATAGCAAGATTACTAAGATTACTATAGCTGCTGCTACAAAAGATGCTTAGAAGCTAGCTAACCTAACAACCCTAGCTAAAGCCCTAAAAAGGCCTAACTAGGATAAATAGAGAAAAGCCGTTACAAAAGAGATAAGGTCTCTTGAAAAGTCTAGTACAATCGAGTAGATTCTAGCCGAATCCCTGCTAAAAGGCAGAACACCTCTAATAGGAAAATGGGTTTTTAAGATCAAATACCTACTAGACGGCTCTATTAACAAATACAAGGCAAGATAGACAGCTAGAGGCTTTATATAGAAGCAAGGTCTTAACTATATCAACACCTATACTCCTATACTAAGAGCAGCTACTACTAGACTTGTCCTTAGGCTTTTAGTAAACAAAAACTAGAAGCGAAGACAGGTTAATATCGAGACTGCTTTCTTAAATCCCCCTCTAGACAAAGAGATTTTTATTAGACCCCTAGAAGGCGCGTACCTGTTTAAGAAGCACCCTCTAAAGTGGATTATCCGTATTAGAAAAGGATTGTATAGCCTTAAGTAGGCTGCTAATCTCTAGCACTATAATGCTTTAGACACTCTTCGTTAACTTAGCCTAAGCAGGATAAAGAGTAACTATTGCCTATAGCAAGGTAATAGTATTCTTGTCCTCCTTTGTGTAGATAACTTCTAAATCTTTAGAACCTCTAAGGCAAAGATCGATACTCTAATTAAAGGTCTTCGTAAGAAGTATATAATTAAGATTGTTACGTCTAACCTGTTTCTAGGCCTTTATCTATAGGAAGATAAGGAGGGAAACCTTACTATCTCCTAGACATACTATACTAAAGAGAAGCTTTAGAAGTATAGCTTAGACTAGTATAAGCTAATGAAGTATCCACTTAAGAAGCTTTACGAGCCTCTTATAACCCCCTATAACCGTTAGGACTACTAGCTATTTAATACTATAATTAGTGAAATGCAGTTTCTAGCTAACTAGACTAGACTAGACATTAGCTACGCCGTCAACTACCTTGCTAGGTTCCTTTAGAATCCCGGACCTAAGCATATTATAGCTGCTAAACATCTCTAGAGGTATATTGCTAGTACAGTTGATAAAGGACTTGTCTTTAGAAAGAAGAAAACTTTAGAATTTTAGGCATACTCTAACGTAGACTTTGCTAGTAACCCTTTATTATTAAGATCAACATTAGGCGCCCTTATACTTCTTAACAACACTCCAATTATATAGAGATTACAGCTCTAGAAGGAAGTCGTACTCTCTAGCACTAAAGCAGAGTATATTACTCTAATAGAAGCATATAGAGAAATCTGCTAGCTCCGAAATTTGATAACTAAGCTTTAACTACTTACTAGTAAAGGACGGAAACTAATACCACTACTACCACTTATAGCAATAGTATAGGCTACCGAGGGTAACATAACCTATAGCAATATAGGCAGCTATGTTTAGCAAGATAGGATAACGAGACTGTCGCTTAGGCTAATAACTAGAGCCCTATAATATAGGCATTGTAGAAGTGTGATATAAACAATGTGCTATACGAGGTTAATAATCTATCTACTCTATAGAAGGAGGCCTCTTATATAGGCTTAAAACTAGCCTATAGGTGTAGGGCCGGTTACTAGCTAATATCCCTCCCTTTCTTCGTGTCTAACTAGACACGTTTTACATTATGCGCGCTTAAAACAAATAT